TCCGTACCAGATAGTGGTCTTGTGTGCAGGCAGTTGGGTTCTACTACAAACTTCTTCTTCTTCTTCTTCGCGTTCACCAGCTGTAAACTCTGGCAGAAAGTTCCGATTGTTCATCCACTTCTGCACTGAAGTCCTGTTCCAGAACCGGTGTGCATCCGTTTTACAGATCTGACTCATTTGTATGCAGACTATTAGTTCCTAGCCTATCAGAAAGATGCACTTCGACTTCGAAGGAAGCTCTCAATTAGTCGACTTTTACAACATGCTTTTGGGTAGGCAGTGGGTTTATTATTGTTTTCCCTGTAATAGGGCCCCGGAATCCACACGGGGAGTACTACAAACTGAAACAAATCAGACATATGGGTGTTGAACATTTTATGTAATAGCCACATCATTGTAAATGTTAATTGCCAAAACTATACAACATATTTGTGCTTTTGATCTAAAATTATATGCAAATATTTTCAGAATGTCATTAACCAAATAGACAAGAAAAAAACTGACGTCCTAAAAAATCTGAAAATCAAGGAAGATTGGCCAGCAAACAGCATCTTGCCTAGGAAAGTGATAAAGTTTGGCCACATCAAGCGCTAAGGGGGACTGCAAAGAAGAATAGCTGAAGCCATGGTGGCAGGAAGAGGGGTAGGGACCGAACAGCACAAAGATGGGCCCATGATATAATTGACGCATCTGATAGAAAATGAACGAGGTTGGAGATCTGACGAAAGACCGAGATTCTTTCAGGCACTGTGTGATAAGTGCACACTTTTGCCAAGGTTGTGATACGTGAGCCTATAACATGTTTTGAGAAGAAGCTGATACCTGATCCTATAACATTTTTTGAGAAGAAGCTGATACGTGATCCTATAACATTTTTTTTTTGAGAAGAAGCTGATACCTGATCCTATAAAATTTTTTTGAGAAGAAGCTGATACGTGATCCTATAACATATTTTGAGAAGAAGCTGATACGTGATCCTATAACATTTTTTGAGAAGAAGCTGATACGTGATCCTATAACATTTTTTTTTTAGAAGAAGCTGATACGTGATCCTATAACATTTTTTGAGAAGAAGCTGATAGATGATCCTATAACATTTTTTTGAGAAGAAGCTGATACGTGATCCTATAACATTTTTTTGAGAAGAAGCTGATACGTGATCCTATAACATGTTTTGAGAAGAAGCTGATACATGATCCTATAACATTTTTTTGAGAAGAAGCTGATACGTGATCCTATAACATTTTTTGAGAAGAAGCTGATACGTGATCCTATAACATGTTTTGAGAAGAAGCAGGTTAAACACATGGGATGACAACATTGACCCCCAGCCCCCCCCCCTCTCCCCATCTAGCACCCCTCCCCTTTTTGTCCTCCTACCATAGAGCCCCAAACAAACACATGGATGATAACTGTTGGTCGTGATATTAGTACCCTAAATACTCTGTACAGTGGTCAAGCTGTTTGCCTTGCGCTGTAAAGTCGTTGGTTCGTTTCACAGACCGTCTTTCAGTTCAGGAGTACACTTTTTCGTTTGGAGATCCTTGGGGATCGTCCCGTGAGCGACAGAGTTCGTGCTTTGTGCGTGGCTCTCGACAGGCCTCTAGCCGTTCTGTGGAGAGAAAACGAGCTATACGATATAATATCTGGTGCAATGAAGTCAGTCCTCTCGACAGTAACTCTAAATTCATACTCACGCTGTCCCCATAATTGTATACAACAGTACGAATTCTATGAGTTTTATGGTCAACATCTCGTGCGTCATTCTTACGCCAAAAGGGAACTTCCTAATGCACATTTTACGCCGAGTGGACCTGGCCAATGGATGACGTGGGTTACTTTTACGATGGTCTCCCCATTCGCACACCACCAGTTGCAGGTCAACTCCACTGATAAGTTGGTTGGACTAGTCTGCCGTTGTTGAGGCTGTGGGTGTCGCAGTCTGTTGTTGTCTGGTATTTACGTTTTCATTTCCAAGAAAGAGGCGGCCTGTGACATAGGTTTTGTCACTTTCTGGAGAGAGGGGGGAAAGGGGGGGGGGGGGTGTTAGACCCAGTATCTAAATGTTTTAGAAGTGTTAAAAGCTCTGGCATGGTGAAACATACAACACGCGGTATAAGCGCGGGTGCGGAATATCCCCGCGACCTTGTGTGAAAGTCGGATCTCTCGAGACCGACCCATCAGAAGTGAGGTGGTCAGTAGGTCGTCCAATCAAAAGAGAGCTAGCTAATGTGTAGCGATATGTAAATTGGGAGACCAGCGTAAAATTTACCCTTCCTAATGCACATTTTACACCGAGTCGACTTGGCCAATGGATGAAGTGCTCACTCACCTTTTTCTCCATGTACCGAATGGCCATTTTTAATCTGGCCAGCGGATCCCGGTCCGTGCCCTCGTCGCTCTCGCTCAGCACGGCCTCCACCTCCTGGGTACCTCGGCACAGATCCATCAGCTCGCACGCAAAATTCATGCACTGCTCTACCATGTTCAGGTACTCGCTCTGTTGACAACACACAAGGCAGGACGGATCAATAAGTTGTTGCACATAGACTGTAGAGGTGAGGCAGTGAGGTGAGAGTGATTGAGTAGAGACAATAGAAGTGAGGCAGTGGGGTGTGGGGGATTAGGTAGACAGACAGTAGAGGTGAGGCAGTGGGGTGTGGGGGATTGGGTAGACAGACAGTAGAGGTGAGACAGTGGGGTGTGGGGGATTGGATAGACAGTATAGGTGAGGCAGTGGGGTGTAATATATTGGGTAGATAGACAGTAGGGGTGAGGCAGTGGGGTGTAATAGACTCGGTAGATAGACAGTAGAGGTGAGGCAGTGGGGTATAATAGACTGGGTAGGTAGACAGTAGAGGTGAGGCAGTGGGGTGTGGGGGAATTGGCTAGACAGACAGTAGAAGTGAGGCAGTAGGGTGTGGGGGATTGGGTAGACAGACAGTAGAGGTGAGGCAGTGGGGTGTGGGGGATTGGGTAGACAGATAGTAGAGGTGAGGCAGTGGGGTGTGGGGGATTAGATAGACAATAGAGGTGAGGCAGTGTGGTGTGTGGGATTGGATAGACAGTAGAGGTGAGGCAGTGTGGTGTGAGGGATTGGATAGACAGTAGAGGTGAGGCAGTGTGGTGTGAGGGATTGGATAGACAGTAGAGGTGAGGCAGTGTGGTGTGAGGGATTGGATAGACAGTAGAGGTGAGGCAGTGTGATGTGGCGGATTGGATAGTCAGGCAGCTGATGCAGGTAAAGAAAATAGTATTTACAGTGAATGATAACAACTACACTGTAATTTTTTATTTTAAATAAAGAAGTAGAATTTGAATACCCTCATTATAAGACAGACCAGATTCTTTATGTCTGTCTTTAAAAGGGAAACACAAAGTAAGTAAGTAAGGGATTCTGTCTACCCCAGTTGCCTGTCAGGAATATGATCTTATACATTTTGTTTTCCATTAATAAAGTTAAGTACATTCAGAAAAAAAACAAAAACAAAAAAATGCCCGAGGAAAATGTTGAACATAAAATTAGGTGAATTCAAGCGGGGTAAAGGCATGAGAGAAATATTAGGGCAACTACTTGTTAGTTTAGTTGCATATCCTTTACAGGACATCGCAAACCAACCCCAGTATTTTTTTTTTTTTTTTTTTTTTGCTGCTGTGGTTTTTCTAGGCAAATGTGCGTCCAGTAGTTTGTCATTGCTTTCTAGATAGTTGGTGTTTCGATAGCACTGTCGAAACCAAAGCAAGGCAGATCCGGCAGTTGGGATCGAACCTGGCACGCCGGCATCACTCAGCGCGTACGCAACGCCATAGCCACGGACGCCGACAACTACTGGTAACAGCTGTTAAAAAATAAAAAAAAATTGCGCTATACTAGACACATCCTGAACACAAACTACAATCACCAATCAGGTACTAAAATAAAAAAAATTGCGCTATACTAGACACATCCTGAACACAAACTACAATCATCAATCAGGTACTAAAATAAAAAAAATTGCTCTATACTACACACATCCTGAACACGAACTACAATCATCAATCAGGTACTAACATAAAAAATAAAGAAACTTGGAAGCGAGGACACTCACACACTAAAAAGCCTAAAACGAGCTTTGATGAAAAAGGCCGAACTACTGCATTGGATTTCATCCATTTTATCGAGTAGAACGGAATTGAGGAATAGACTGTGAGCCCGATGTGCCCTATAATAGCATAAGAGAACAAGGATTTGGATATTTTAGTAGATCAATCTGCACTCGGTGGGTGATGTGGTCAAGGTCAGATCGGTCGCCTTTACTTCCCACCACATTGGCTGGTGGCCATTTTAGGCTGTATCGACCAGAGAACGAGGGTCATTTCTTTTCAAAATGTTCGGCGAGTACTAAGAAGTAAGTTGAAGTACGTTGTGACAAGAAACCTTGACGGAAGTAAACTCCACCAGTCAAGGCGAAAAGCTATCAAATTTTCTTTATTGTTGCAATCCGATTGACGACCCAGATACTGACCTCAATATCCATAAGATGTACACTAAAACGTCATATCAAACATTATTGCATGCATCTTCTAGCTCAGGGGTTCTCAAACTGGGTGCCCTGACACCCAGGGGTGCCGCGAGCATATGCCATGAGTGCCGCAGCAATAATCAAGAATTTTATCTAAATCTACTTGATATCAGCGAAGACAGCAGTTTGAATTAGAAATACCACGAAGGAAGCCAAAAAGAGTTCTGCGTGCATGTGCATTTAGAAAACAATGCTTTTGGCAATGCTGCAGTCCATTCTCAACGTAAGGTAAGGTCGTTGCGTATCCTTTACAGGACGTTGCAGAACCAGCCCCAACAGCCCCTGGCTGTTGTGTGGTTTCTCTAGGAAAATTTACGTCCAGTAGTTTGCCATTGCTTGCTGGACGGTCGGTTTTCTTGATACCACTGTCGAAACCAACGCAAGACGCATCGCCCGCAGCTGGGATCGAACCTGGCATCCCGGCATTACGAAGTGTTCGCATCGACTTAGCCACAGAGCCGACATTCTCAACGTACACTTTCATAAAAGTACATACACAGGAGCAACCCTTAAGTGATCTGAGAGTACAGTTAATTTAACTTCCCATAAACATAAAGGAAATTATAAAATATGCATCGAAACAGTTTCATTTATCATATGAAAGATAAATGAACATTAAATATGCAGTTTGTTTTTTAAAAGCATTTAAACTGTCCTAATGGTGGGTGTTTTTGCTTGACAAGGGTGCCCCGGCGAAAACAGTTGGAGAACCTCTGTTCTAGCTAGATACAATGTCATCAGCACTGTGTCGTGCTTGTTCTAAAAACTCTATTAACATCATAAGCTGAATCGGTGTATTTTCCTAAATGATCGGTAACTCCCTAAACCTCTCAGTCAATTTTGTGTGAGGTATTCCTGTAATTTGCCCACCCATGTCCTTGGCATGATCTTACCAAGTGTATTTTGTAAACGTAATAATCCTATGACTATTTAGCTGGATCATCATCATCATCCTTTGTGTGTCATTAGACGTCACACAGCGTTCGTAATCGATTCCTCATTCCGCTCTATTGCGTGCAGCAGTCTCGATTACTAACATGGAGTTCAGCACATAGTTTTTGTGTGTGTGCTTTTCTTGATATTGTTCTTCATAATATTTCCCTATTTCCCTTGGACGACCTCATTATTCTCAGACAGTTTGATTTCTATCTCAGTGTCTGTTTTGTAATTCTTTTATTATTTCGTTTTAGAGTGAGGACCCTTTGGAAGCGAGTGAAAAGTGCAGAGGCGCAGATAGAACATTGCGGTCTGAAGAGAATGGCGCTGCTAGGAGTTACCAGGGGATCTGGCCGACGCTCAACACCCAGGGAAAGGATGAGACGGATATACAATCAGACGATTACTAGTACCATCGGAATTGGAACTCTTTGCATGCTGCTGAAGATGGCGACTAAGCACTTATGGGAGTGTCCCGAGTGTTGTTATGTCGATTCTTAATTCAGTATTCACCATTTAACTACATTCGTTTCAGGGTGTGCCGATATGTCTCCACCTTGTTTGTCTTACTGAGCTTGCCATGATCTTCATTTGACTTACATATTAATAAGGATAACTATACAGCCACTCCATTGAACTGCCGCTGTTTCAATGCTGAAGTTGAACCTGGAGATCATTTTTTCCTTAGTTCTTCATAGCCAAGACTTTTCACATGACTATATCTAACTCCAACTGATCCGGTTGCACTATCTTTTTGTTTTCTTTTGCATATGCTTTATATATCTATTTACGATGTTCTCATTAAGTTTTGTCCCTGATTCTCATAGCAAAATCATCAACAACCGCCCTCTTGACGAATCTTCCATTCTGGTCTGTCAGCTCTACAGATGTCTTCAGCAACTCTTCCCTTTTGTCTTCCCACTGTCAACTGGTAAGATCTGGCCGTTTTCACAGATCAGGGTACCAGTTATATATATGGTGGCCATTTTGTCACAGCTCTCAGTGATGAAACCCGGGGCGGCCCGCACTTTCTTCCTACGCTACTGCCTAGAACCAGATGGAACTCGATCAAAACTGATTTATGTGTTTGTGAATGACCGCGCAGTTACTGACAGGTGCTCACTCACTTTCGCCTATCTAGAATATGAGTTGATAACCATAAATATTAGAGTGGTTTCTACCTAGGTTTGCAGAGAGGTTACAAGCCTGGGTTTTCCATACTGGAGATCGAGATTCTAATCATCAGCAAGATGATAGCAAATATTCTTCTTTTTCTTTTTGTTCTTTGTTGTTGTTGTTGTTGTTGTTGTTTTTGTTGTTGTTGTTGTTGTTGTTGTTGTTGTTGTTGTTGTTGTTGTTGTTGTTGTTATTCTTCTTCTTCTTCTTCTTCTTCTTCTTCTTCTTCTTCTTCTTCTTCTTCTTCTTCTTCTTCTTCTTCTTCTTCTTCTTCTTCTTCTTCTTCTTCTTCTTCTTCTTCTTCTTCTTCTTCTTCTTCTTCTTCTTCTTCTTCTTCTTCTTCTCTTCTTCTTCTTCTTCTTCTTCTCTTCTTCTTCTTCTTCTTCTTCTTCTTCTTCTTCTTCTTCTTCTTCTTCTTCTTCTTCTTCTTCTTCTTCTTCTTCTTCTTCTTCTTCTTCTTCTTCTTCTTCTTCTTCTTCTTCTTCTTCTTCTTCTTCTTCTTCTTCTTTTTATTTTTATTTTTATTCTTCTTCTTCTTCTACTGCTTCTGCTGCTGCTACTACTACTACTACTACTACTACTACTACTACTACTACTACTACTACTACTACTACTACTACTACTACTACTACTACTACTACTACTACTACTACTACTACTACTACTACTACTACTACTACTACTACCACTACTACTACTACTACTACTACTACTACTACTACTACTACTACTACTACTACTACCACTACTACTACTACTACTACTACTACTACTACTACTACTACTACTACTACTACTACTACTACTACTACTACTACTACTACCT